GGCAGAGTTTAAATGGTTTGAATTATTTTTACTGTTTAGCGTTTTTTTAGTGAGTTAGTTTTCTACGGGATGGGGTCGCTGACCCCATGACCGGCAGTAGCCCCCGGGGGGTCTACAGGCGGAGTTGGTGTCAATGTTTGACTTCAATTAATTTACGGCACTGTGCGGTCATCTTCCGTTGTTTCACATGCGAGATCGTAGATGCGCACTGCTGAAAATCCCAAACTAGGACGAAATGGATGTCCAGTGCTTCCATGTTTTCAATGGTAGCCTAACACTGATCGGTTCATGATTTAAATGAAATATCTAATACATGAAGAGATCATTAGAAATAAAACAAAAGCGATTACCTCCCCCCAATAACTTTAACCAATCACATTACAATTTGTCAAATTAAATTTCCTTGTAAATCGATGCATTACTTCATTCGCATAAATAAAATCTTGAATTCTATAACAAGAAGCAATCGAGATAGATTTATTGACGTGAATATAATGCACTTCAAAAAAACGGAGTAAAATGAACTACGTCATTGAGAACATAATAATCCATATTAAATATGTACTATCTAATATACTAGGAAAAATATGTCAAGTCTCTTCAATTATATATAACGACTAGTATCTATATTGACAACGGAATCCAAATATATGTTAAGAAATACCACATAGTGAAAAAAGTAAGTTTCAAATCGTTTCTTGGAATATCGAGATAAAATGGCATGTGATATTTTGATGCTCTTTAACATTAGGGATATAGTTATGGTGAAAATCAAACAAGTCAAATTAACTGAGAATAATAACCACATACCATTTGTATAAATAAAGTTGACCAGCTGAATGAGAGCCGAACTTTCGATTCCACGAAATTCTACACAGGGAGAACGAGCTTCAGTCATTGATCCAGTAAACATAGCATGAAAATACTGGGAACTAGCTGCCAACACATTTCGATGAGCAGGTATCTTCACTGAACCAGCTTGTAAGACCACATCACAAAATAAACCATGGCTAAAAGACAGAAAAAAAGGAATTAATTAGCAGAAAGGATTACAACAGACACGCAGATGACCAGAATTCAGGCGTATTGACCAAACATAGACAGTGACAAGAAATAAATCAACTGCCCCTGTACAAGTAAAAGTAAACTGAACGTATATCAAGGTGCAAATAAAACACAAAAAACAAGAAACTTAAACACAATTCAGTTTTATGACGTAAAACTACACCAAAAATAAGTATCAAGAGAATTTCGAAAATGATTGATGTGCATTTTAGATGACGAAAGCAGTTACAGCATGTGCTAAGAATAAGGGAAATAAATGCGTTTGCTAAGTAAATCTATTTGACTTATGATGATATTCATTTACAAGAGGGAATTTCTTCCTGAAAAAATCATTCACGCATAAGTATAATTGCAGTGATATACGGAAGTAAAAACTGTAAGTTTACAACCACTTGTGTTTAAGGCATACATCCCTATCAAGTCAATTTACGTGTCTAAATGTTTATATATTTACCTTACTAAGCAAAATCTAACTTCAACTGTATGGGTTTGTAGAACCCGAGTGATAATCTAAAATCAACAATAAAAAAGAAACTCTGCACAAATAAACAGCATTCAAACAAGGCAAACTCACCAACGAAGTTCATTAAGTTTAGCAAACGTCCTATATACATGATCGCTACTTCTATGCGATGATTTTGATGCAAAGCAAGAATCTTGATAAAAATCATGATCAGCTTCGGGTTGATAACTCTAAAGAGATTAAATAAAAATTTATTCACTCAAAGAGCTGAGAGTAACTACATATACAATAAAACAGTTTAAGTAGGTTACGATTATTTCCTTCTTAAATTATCGATAGACACCATCTGAATTTGCTACATTAATCATGGTGCACAGATTTAATATGAAAAGAAATTTGAAAATAACAAAATTAAAGTCTGACATTCATCGTAGTTTCTAGTTTCAACGTAACAGATAATAAAGAAAACATTGTAAGCGAATACATATTCTTGGTAATTTCTCATCAGAATTTACAACTACAGGAAGATATATTAATTCAGAACAATTGCCGTAATTAGTAGAATTATATGGTTCAGATGATATAAGTGGTGATAGTATTCATAACCAGCCCATCAAAGTGTGAATCTACAGTTAATTACAAATTTGTATGTGCGTAAGAGTTAAAGTAATAACGTAATCAATGAATCATAAGTGTGAGAACGATTATCCAGAAGTTTGTGGAGACTGTTATAATGAAAGTGGCGTTAGAAATACGTTAAACAACAGTGAATACGAGAATATTCTATATCACGCTTTCCTTCAAAGATTTAATTGCTGAATAATTACTCAATTAAAATAATAAGGATTGCAATCAAAAGATTTTTTGTATCTACACTACGCAACGTATCTATGACCCACTATATACTGTCGGTGCAAATAAAAAAATATAGCTTCAAGTCTAGTCATTATTTTGTCCATTTGTAAGTTGTTCAGACAAGTTTTTTGGACGAAACTCTGGAACTACTTATATTTCAATCGCTGGGATAATTTCAAAAATAATTTTCACAAAAAATGTTTTCTATATACTTAACGCCAAATTTCTATCAAACTATTCATTCAAATATTGACAGATATTCGTATAAAATTAATTTTGTTCTAATTTCTTGTGTAGAAAAAATCACTTGACCAAATAAAAAAAGTATACAAATTCGAAAATCATCTTAACAGGTGCGAAAGTAGCACTATTTCCGCAATAATATTAGCAGTTAGTGCATAAGTACTGCTAGACAGAAGGAACATAAATCCCTTAATTTTATTAACGTTGGAATTCTGCATGTATATATAATCAAGGCCCAAATACATTAAAAAGAACTACCGAAATCTTCTATTATCACAATCTGTGATAAGAAACTACCGCGGCGATCAGAACTGTTTAGAGGAATTAATAATTTAATAATGAAACAGGACAGAAATATCCAAACCTTCCAGACAGTCGACCAATAATCAGATTGTCAGAGTATTTCGACATACCGAGCTTGCTCCAGTTACACTTCTCCGATGGTCCAGATCTCCACGCTTTGGGAATTTCACAACATATTGTTTTGGAGTTGATGGGATCCAGATACTTGTTTGATCACCACTAGTAGCGGAAGCTGGGCAGTTGCCATCTTGGTTGTCATTATCATTACCAGAATTCGTCGATATTACTGAATCGGGAATGAGAGATAAGTTGTTTGTATGGGTGTTACCGGGATTGAGCGGTGGTTGTTCCTGAGGAGGTTCATGTGAAGGGCTATTTGACGTAGGTAGTGAGTGTGAAAGTGGGATTTGCTCTGATGATCTGTTAGCTGGGAGAAAATTGTAATGAGTTGGACCCAATCTAACCGGAAGCTCAGCGAATTCATCATTTGAACAGTCGCCTAAAGGTGATTCCTGTCTCTTGACTGATGTTTCAGCCTCATCTGACACACTATCGTCAAATCGAAGTGAAGAGAATCTCAGTAAACGAGACAGATGAGATTCACAAACAGACGGATCAATGGATTGAGGGCGTGAGTTGACTCCACTTATTGTGCGATATCGGCCAAGAAGACTACTGTTACTACTGCTACTGCTCAATAAGCCAGGAATACTATCACGATTTTGTGTGAAACGAGTCATTCGAAGCGCACGGCGCTGATGAGTGCTTCGAGGCGTTCCAAACATAGAAGTTCTGTTTGTGCTACCTAGACCGACAGAGCGGGTACTACCAGACAAACCAACTCCAACTGCTTGGTGCGAACTCCCTAATGTGCGACCCGGGTCAGTATGGTTTAACAAAGAAACTTGTTGACTGGACTCTGTATTTAAAAAATTCGGTCCACATGGTGTATTCACATGATTTAGATTTTCACCGAACGGAGGTTGACTTCGACTGCGCCAAAACAAGTTACTAGGTAAACTAGTGGTTGTACTTATCTCATTGTCTAGGCTCACATTTTGAACAGGTGATTCCCGAGATGATCGACTGGATTCGGAACGCGAATTTTGATTGTCATTGGTATATGTTTCTGAATCGTAAAAGGACATTAATTTATACAATTTCCTGTCGTTGATAAGCACTTAACAATCTGGAAAGGAAATCGGAAAAAATTCGAAATTATAACGAAACAAACGACAGATAAAAAGATTCATATAATACATTAAAGATATTGAAGCAATGTTTTTGGGATTCCCAGTGATTTGTACAAACTTAAAAAGTACTGTCGGCGTTACTATTCCTGTGGAAGAGTGAAAATCATTAACAAACAAAGAGGTCAATACATCATGAACGATAAATAAACAAATTTATACAGCACATGATCTTTACAATACTGGCTTTTAATTGTTATATCTGTTACTGCTTCTCATTTCATTATAATGAACAGACAAGTGATGAAAAACAAAAACGACAAATAGCATCACGAATTACTCAGTCAGAAAGTATCCTACTATAACATCATAGAGTCAACACAAAACTAAAATTCCGACATCCTGATAATCGTTAGGAGAACAATCACTAACAAGGTTCTCATTCTAAGCATTAATTATATGATTGAATATTCTTATTTGCGATTCCCAACTATCTTTTCAACAAGAGGGTCGAACTCCTAATAATTAGATTGGAATAAATTGTTCTGATCATAGCTACAAAAAGATTTAAGAATCGATATTTTCATAAGAATTAAGTACAGAGTCTTTTCCGATGATTTAATCACAATATTCAAGAAACTGAAAGTACTTCTACTATTTTAAAATAAACAATCAACAAGCAGTTCACAGGAAAACATACTGAATACTATATAAAAACAAGACCGAAATATCAAAAACGTTTTGTATTAATAAACGAAAGAATAAATTTAAGAATATACAGACAACACTGTGAACCATTTTATATACAAATTCATTTTTCAGTGAAGACATTTAGGGATCGATTGTAACACTGAAGAGTTATGATTTTGATAGTTTTTTTCTTATTCGTCAAATTCACCCCAGAGTGCATGGTCATAAACAACAGAGTTCACATTACGCATCATATGAGACGTTGTTTCACTGGACTTATCGTTACTTTTGGTAGATTTTGCAGCCAAAACAAATAGTCTGTCTAACACACAATTTGCGGACATGGCAGCTTGATAACGCCTTTTCTGACTGCCTGCAATAGTTGTAGATCTATTTTTATATAGTAGGGAAAGAAAGCAGGGTAAAATTTTAAAAAATATGTAATCGTTTCGAAACAGAAATGATTCTCAAGTTAAAAATCAGCTTACATTTAAAATTAATTACTCAACATCAGAAACAGTAATCGTCATAACTTGAGATTCTGAATTTCATGAAGTTACACAAACTTCTGTGCTGTTTTTCATTTCTTGGATAAAAACAATGCACACTCGCTAAATATTGGTCACAAGGACAAAAGTAAAGTATGCTAATGGAACTAAGTAACTAAATATAGATTTATGCACTAAGTTTCAAGTCACATATTACGTGTGAGGGTTACTGATGCTACTCAGGCTGCTCTCACTGAGTTACGTAAGGAGGGAACGAAGAATAAATTTTCTGGCTAGATAGATATGGAGACTGTTGAGGGTATTTCAGGTTTAATGTCATGAGGGATGAACAATTCGATCGATAATAAATCTATACCAGTCTCATTTCATACGAAGTAAAAATATGGCATTGGTGAATGAAGTGGCCGATTAGTTAACACGTGATTTATAATTTTATGGCGCTTAATTTATGACTGTGACATATAAGTTGTCACGATAATCATATTCATTTATGAACTTTCTCAAAAGCAAATCTCACAGGGTATTCATAAACTACAGTAGGGCTCAGAAGGAAAAGGAAAAATTACATAAATAAGTTCACATGATAAGACCAATCAATTTTAATCGCATCAAAGTATAAATTTTAATTTCAAAATTCCGGCACCTGGCAACCGATTGAAAATATACGTGATTATAATACACAATAAATCACTATGGTTTGATATACTCCTTGGCTTTGGAGAAATACAAGGGCTGCTTCAACATACCAGGAATGCCACTTAATTGTAAACCGAGATAATCGGCGATGGTTTCAAGGAGAATATAAATCGAAAGAACAATATCATGTTCTTTTCCCAAACCTCGACGCTTCCTTAAAAAGATCTATTGTGAATATCTTGTACTAGTATGGAACACGACGGTCTCAACGATAACTTTTTCCAATTAGTCTTTAGAATTATTAGTGGTGTTTCAGTACAGCGGGAGTGTGACTTAATCTACACTTCTCGACAAGCTTCAGTGGTGTAGAAAGAACTCAGAGAACAAGTACTGAAACCAGAAAGGTTTACAGAAATAAACAGGTCCGGTCACTGTGTCAACGTAGAGGCTATGTCATGAAGTGCTTAAAATCAGTCTCACATGCGTATGTTTATTCGCTACTATTTATCTCTAACACAGGTTTCGATACTTCATACATTTTGTCCTCGTATTTCATCACTTGTTTCCGAAACAAATTCTATATTTTTAGATTTTTCTATCATTACTGATACTACTGTTGTTTCGACTCATTTGATACTCGCCTTACTAATTTCAATTTGTTGTGGTGATATCGTGTACATTCGTCTCAGGTCTTACGTTGATTAGGACTCACTAAAAAACATGTTATAAGCTACCCGTGTATGGAAGAAAAGCAAACCATGGACTTCTGGACAACCAACTACAACTTCAGTAATACGCTCTTGGTTAATAACGTCATATATCACATTAAAAAACTCACGGACAAAAATTGGTCTCGTTTAGGTGATTTTCATCAGAACTATCATCTTCTTTGTCTACTGATTTCTCACGTTCATTCAACAAATCATCCGAAGAAAAATCGAACTCTTCCGGAGAGTATGGTTCAATGTCAAATTTATCCGCATCACCCATTGTACTACTGCTTAAATCATTTGAATCAGATGGAGAGAAACTAATCCATAAGAAAGGATCAGGTGAATCAACAGGTAAAAGAGATGACGCTTTGTGTACATCATTATAATTGAAGGATAGTTGTTGAATTTGATTGAAGAATAGTGAATGAGGTAGAGTGTTTTTTAAAATTTCCTGCAAACAAAAGAGAAAACCATAAAACGAGTTTCAACAGTTTTAAATAATTTCAAAATGTTGCAGACCGCTTGCGCAGCAGAAAAAGTTATATTTTGTATACCATGGCTACAGTAACAAGCATAAAACTCCAGTCTTACACCATAATTCACTTGACATCGTAATTTAGTTATAAAATAAAACATTTTAGTCTATCTATACTTTTTTTTAAACTTTAAAAAGGAAGAGCGGCTGCTTGATGGTTAAAGCGTAAAAGGTTCTAAATTTTAATTCGGTCCCGCCTACTGTAGTTTGGTCAGATGACCAGAATTACTAGACATTCGAGCATGTAAATCAGTATCCCATAAGCCGGTTACATCGGTTCATAAAGAAAAAAGAATAACAAGTCTGATAACGTCTTAGGACACTGTGCCTCTAGGACCCCAACTAGGTAACTGCGACGGACAGACGGATGTCATTCTTGTACGGCTCTCCTTCATACCACTACACCATGTCATACACTGACCACCTCTCAGCTTTCTCCAACCAGTCCCAGCATCGGCAAGTAATGCATGATGTGAAATTCACTGGGATGACATTCGTAAGACATGTCCGAGCCATCCAAGTCGGTGTTTCAAAGTGGTAACACCAGCTGAATTATCGTCGCTGTGCCCAAACACACGATGCCGAACTTCTGCGTTACAAATATAGTGTTGCCACTACATGTCAGCAGTCCTTCGGAAACAACGATGACCAAACACAAAGAGTCATCTAAAATCCTCAACTCAGAGAGGCCAGGTTTCACAAGCATAGAGTAAAACCGCTCTCACCGATGCGTTATAGCTCTGACCTTTTACAGCCAAACTAGCATCACGAAGGCGTCAAAGATGGTCCAGATTGACATAACCCGCTTTGGCTTTCACTATACATGAATCAATCTCATCACCCACGTCACCACCAGCACTTACGCAGCTACCCGGATACATGAACTGCTGGACTACTTCTATCTGCTCACCACCCAGGATGAGTGCAGGTCCAGGGTCCTACAAATCTTGTAAAGGTACTGTGCACTTAGGTGTAAAACACATGCCATACCTACGGACACTGATTGACAACTGACTAAGTACCGATCGCATGGTTCGAGTATTGTCACAGAGGAAGGCAATATGAACTGCTTACTCAAGGTTGGAAAGTTTTTCTCCAGGCAATATCCACACCACCATTACCTACATCCATCAGAACGCTGTCGATAGAAGGGTAGAAGCGGAGTGGTAAGACTGAGCAACCCTGCCTAACCTTACTTCTTGATTGGAACAGTAGAAAGACATGGTTGTATGCTCTCACTCTGTATGAGGTGTTTGTATATAGGGCTTTCAAGATGTAAATAAACATCTCAGGCACACCCTTCCTCAATGGACAATCCTGAGAAAGTCCTGTCCAACGAATCCAAGGCAGCCGTACTATCGAAAAACATTACTAATGTTGGCGTGTAATAAGTATAACAATGTTCTAACATTTGACAGACGGTGATTAATCATCCTTGTCCAGAACGAAAACCAGCCTGCTGCTGGCGAGTCAAACTTTCTCGGGTTTCGGACAATCTATGAACTATGACGGAAGCCAATAGTTTGGACGAAATCGGAGGTAGACTTATACCCCCACAGTTGTTACAGAGACGACGTGGACTCTTTTTAAAGATAGGAACAACTATTGACTCATTTCATGATGCTGAAACACTCTCTAACTTCCGGACCTTTGTCAACAACGCAGTCGGTTCCTTAACCAAAACGTCTCCACCGTCTTTAAAAAGGGTAAGTCGATCGTATGGCCATTATGATGAGTGGCGCTTCAGGAGTTGGGGTTCCTTGTTGACTACCACCTTCTTAGGTGGACCAGTCGTCACGGGCTATGGAAAGCAGGACAGTCTGATCGATGTTGCGGGAGCAGCAGACCATCGTCCAAGACGTCGGTAGATGTTATTGATTGGCATCCCGTCAATTTCGCAAATTGCTTCACTCATGTTGGACTTCTTGCTGCCAGTGACTTGGATGAGTTGCTTATAAGCGGGAAGTTTCGCGAAGCCGCAAGCGGTGGTGTTCGTCAGGGTTGTTCGTCTTACTCATTTTTGTTTAACGTTATCATAGACATCCCCACCATCCTGTTTTTTAGGGTTTGATCTATTAGGACAGTAACCTGTTGGCTTAGAATAAACACATGATATAGTTTTGTTTGGTGAAGGTACTAAAAAAATACAGTCTTCTGACTATCCTAAGCAAAGATGAAAGTATATTTGGGATGCAATTCTTCCTCTGCGAACGCAAACTGTTACTTCAGGATTGGCTTGGATCAGAGCCTGAATTGGTGATGGAGAATAAAATAATTAAGCGTATCAACACTTATTTTTGGAGTCTCATCAATTCTGATGGTATGATATCTGGTGAAATCTTGGCACAGATTCAGAAATCTCTATTGGCTTTTGCAAACTTGCGTCACTTGTGGAGTAGGCGAGACACTCGTCTGCCAATCAAGAGGCGAGCTTACCTCTCAGCAGTTCGCTTTGTTTTACTTCATGGGTGTGGTACATACCCATTAAGAATACAGGATATTCGTAGGTTAGTTCTCTTTAAAGCATCAATCGTGTATTTTGAGACCAGTGAGTAGGCAATGACCGGGTTAGGGACAGGGTACTACGTAATGATGACGAATCGATCGATAAGGTAGCGGATCATTATCAACTGAGGTAGTCAGGACACGTGTTACGTGTGCCTAACCACTGTCTACCTCGATGGAAGACGTTGTCTGATATAGGTTTCGGTTGGAACAGACTAGTTTTCAGTGAACAATCCAAATACAAACAAGGACAATTAAAATGATAATTATAACACTCACCCGAAGACCAGCAGGAAATTTTAAAGTGGTCAAATTGAAACAGGTATGAAGGGATGGTTGTTTTTGTTGCTGGTGGAGAAAATACTGGCATATTAAATATTGCAATGTGGTTGGGTAAGATTTCGCACGAATCAAACGAAACCCACTTCGTAATGTAGTTGAAGATACCATTGGATAATAATTATCACGTGGTAGACTACTCAGGTTTTAATTATTAGATGGATTGTGTAAGAAAGCATACATAAATAAGAATGAGATATCAAATTGAGTGAATTGCATGGATTAGTGACACATATACAAGATTTATTAATGAATTCAGTTTCAAGTAATGTCTTTTTCAATAAGTTAAGTAACGTTTAAATGATATGTACCCACATACTGAGTTTAAAAATGTAATGAGAATATCAAGACAGACTGAATTATAGGGAATACTGGCCACCCACTACAGTTGATACACCTTTTATTCAGAGGTAATGTAGAGGTTAATTCCTCTCCATCTGTGTTATGTCCCAATAACAATAGAGAATAGTAACTTTGGGATCCACTAATGGACCAATATTATGCACATAATTTTTATCTTATAATTGCTAAATAAGTAAACTATTTGTATTCGTGTTCCCCTTATTATAAGCTTTATTTTGACTCATAGAGTATTACTATACGATTTGCCATTCTTGAGTTACCTCTATTATTTGCTGCCTCCCACATTCATAGCCACATTTGGCTAAATCTTGTACAAATATTATTTTCTATTTTATTGGTACAAAGTGGTCAGTCTATTTGGTATATAAACTCAGTATGTTTGAAATACAATGATTCATACCGCAGAGGCTGCTACTGGTGTTCTGGACTTAACTGGCTGGGCTAGGCAGAAGCAGAACCGATACGTACTCTGGACTGCTCATACGGTTTTCGTGTGTCACTGTTCCAATCGATAATTCGCTGCTCTCTGATTGGCGGTCTTATCACGTCATACATTAACTGGGCATCCACTCGGCCACAAATTACAACAATGTGACTCCAAAATATGTCATCCCGTTAACTGCGTATTTTAGTAGCCCAATTCTCATAGTGGCATTATGAATCTACTCGAGAATAACCAAAAGCGAGAACACTAGTTGTTGGGATGTTTAGTGTTACTAATTGCTAACATCCATAAACGCGAGAGAAGCAAGCGCACTGAAAAGTGAGTCAATCAGTAAAATTTGAAGCAAGTATACGTATTTTAAGAGTGTTTGTGGGTAAAGTTGTAAATTGTATGTTAACAACCAATGGGAGGATAGATAAAGATTGTGGTGCAGACATGAGTCCAATCCGACTCACACATACTTTTACGTGGTGGATTAGTTATCTAAATCACAGCAAGTAGGTAAAAAAATAATGGGCTTACTTATAGTACTACTGTGGCGTGGGCTACTTATATCCACATAAGTAGTACATAACGATGGTCGGGCACTGAATATATTTCAGTGGAAGATCGATAAGAAGAGCACAGGGACGGGACACAATTGGTATGAAAATACAAGGATAATAATAAGAGACAATGGACTGATATTTGCAGAAGGAACGGTCAAGATTGAGACAATTGATCGATAGTTTGCAAATCAACTATTTACTATATGATTCTCATGTTTTACTGAGATATTCCGTAATTTTGTGCCTAAATACATTGGATTGTCCCCACTCGTCTTTTTGCTCACTGCACTACCACTAATCATACACTCAAATGGTTGTTTAAAAAATTAAGATATACTTTGCGTAGTGTGGACGATTCTATTTAAACGACTCACTCACCTCCCTAACCAGCTAATATAAACTAATGATTGCTAGTCTCGTCAACGGGCCATTTATCAATCACTAGTTTTAGCTATCACTACTGCAGAATATATTTCATCTTGTGGATACAGTGGCTGAAAAACAAAAGATCACCTAACTCCGGCAATTGCTCCAATCTAAAGAGTCACAAGATATATTGGTAGTTGCAATAGATATCTTAATAATTTAGACAGTACTAGTACAAAAGAATAGTCAACTAAAGGTGTTATACATAGACTTCAATAAGGTTATTAGAAATAATCTGTTGACATTTACTAAGAGCACCATACGGGAAGAGTGAAAAGACTAAATACAACTAGTATCTTTGTTTAGATAGCTGTATTTTAATAAGCATTTAAACGGTTGAGTGTTTTTCATTTGCATAGTCGACATTCTCAATCATGCTTTTATCGACGACAGATGGGAAACGTCATCCTTGAACCAAAACCTTTCTTCAGGACAGAATCCAGCAGGGGAAGGCGATTCTGGATAAGTGACATCTGAAGAAGATATATATATTAAACATCTCCTTTTTTAAAGCACTTTAAAATGCCACCATTTGCTTCCTCAGCAGCAGAACTTTGACAAACCATTGCTCTCTTTTTATCGAATCATGTTTGTTTCGTTCATCTCACTGTTCCTGACAATACTAAAACATTGATGATTTCCCGAAATGAATTATCCGAAAAATTGCTAACCATTCCACTCTGCGAGAGTGATTGAAGAGCAAAACTTAAGTTTAATAGTCAGGTCATAATTCCACTGGCGTAAGCGTGATCTACAAAACCCATATCCTTCAAATGTTTATGCTTTAAATGACTTCTAACCATGTCCATTACTTTGTATACTATTTCCATTTCACTAGAAGAAACCTATTCTAAGGGTTACTGATTTTATTTTTCATAATAATTCATTGTCAATAATTCAGTATTAAGGACAGACTTTATTCTATATCATCTAGTTCTTAGTAATTGACCTTTTGAATGAATCACAGTAACTGTGAAATGACATGATACGCCAAAAACGTATCTTAAGCTTTGTTCAAGTTAATACTAGGTACATGATTTTGGCCTAAACTCTAATCCACAGCTGTTGTTTGAAGGTTAATTACACCACATAGTTACCCAAAAAGAAGTTCAAACCTGGGACACGAATGTTGAGATCTGAGTGTTTGAACCACCGAAATACATGGAATCATGGACAAGATCGTCTTCTGTACGCCATGAGAATATATATAGTACCTAATTTGACGTAACATTGAGACTTATGAACCCAGATGATCTTGTTGACTCAAAAAGAAATAATTTGATGTTTTGAAACCACATGTGCCATTCATATTGTATTTTCCCTTCAACGTTCGTACATCAATGCAGATTACACAACAGTTAGAGTCGGTTGCCTTTAGAAAATCTTGATATTACTGAGACCCGTATTCACAGCTAGTTAATTATTACAAATTCGGTTTTCATTCGTCAGTTTGCAAAGCTTGTTACGTGTGCGCTTATTCACTGATCCTGTGGAGTCTGAGTCCGATTTGGTTGGTGTTAGTGTCACACTTAGGGCCATAAGGCTCTGTACACAAACACTTTAGCCAGAGTGAAAGGACACAGCCACCTCTAATCATTCTATTCCGGAAAAGGGATTACAGGTTTCCCAATCTCATCAATTCTCCCTAACTCTGCTTTTGATGATATTCTGGAAACAGTTTTAATGGAGGTAGGTAGTGGTGGAGTACATCTGTTACCTGGAGAGACTTTCCGATCCGAAGTATGCGAGCGATATTGTCTTAATGTGCTATGATACTCGAACTATGCATGTCGCGCTTATTCATTTGCCAATCAGTGACCGTAGGTACTGCACACCTTCAAAAGCAAATTACTCTTACAAGACTGGCAAGAACTCATGTCAGCTCAAACCTTTTGTAGTTAGCCGTTAAAAATAGTCAAGATGTTCCTATATCTTGATAGTTAAGTGAGTTTTGGTGATAGACCTACTGATGAGATCAAACTACGCATAGTAAAAGTCAAAGAGTGTTGTGACAATATGTTCAACCTTTTGAGTCATCCTAATTTAATGACCGTAAAAGGTAGGGTTTACAACATACAAGTGACGGCAGCTTTACTTTATGCCTGTGGAACCTGGCCTTTTCAAGTTGAGGATGTTAAATGACTCTTCTTGTCCCATCACCATTATCTCCGAAGAACTGCCGAAATCCATTGGCAACACTATATTAGTAGTTCTGAGGTTCGGCAATATGTGTTCGGATGTAGTAATGACAACTCAAGTGGTTTCATTAATAGTAGCTTCGATATGTTACAAATGTCATCCCAGTGGTTTTCACAACGTACATTATTCGCCAATCCTGGGACGAAGTGAGTAGTCTATGACGTGGTGTAAAAACATGAAAGAAAACTGTATAAGACCGGCATCCGATGGTCTGTCACGATCTCAAGATTTGGACCTTTTGGATGGTGACTTAGTGGCGTGAGACATTATCAAACACAACTCAAAACAGCAGACAGTGACGGTTTTACAGCAGTTTTCTTATAGTCTTCATAAATGTAAAGGGATCTCCCTTAATTGAAATTCCTCCACGTTTCATTTGTTAAATGAACTGTCCTGTAAATATACTACATTAATTAGCTTACTTTTATTGATTTATTTCAATTAAATTCTCCTCCTCACTCTATCTCTTCACGATTTAATTTCCTTATTGGTGACGTGCACTTATTTTGGTGCCCTGTTGTAAGCGTACTTACTAATTTTAAACATTATATATATATATATATATATATATATATATGTTCTACTCGTCTTCAATTTTCAGCGACCGTTTCAAGGCTTTGGAGCAAAAATTAAGATACATGGGTGTCACATACGACACAAGTAACGCAGGTTGCTAACGACCAACTGAGCCTTCTGAGTCCATATCGAGATTTCGTCAGACAAAAACAACGATCGATACACTCAACTACTTTACTCTCCATAATAATTTTAGGGATTGACGTACTTCAGTTTTGAAGCAACACTCTCCATCTAGAGATAAAAATCTATTCCAAACGTGCATTGTTGCTCAAGGCGATTAGAAGACTGCATTTTATCGGCGTCTTCAACAAATAGAACTGTCATTCCCATGTTCTAAGTCGACAAGTGAACCTCCTAACTGAAGACTAACCCATGCAGAGTTAGGTGAAAGGTCATATTTAGGAGGGTAATCTTGATGGAATTAGGTAGAAAGAGGAGCCGAGAGCAACACAGACAGACACTACTTTTCATCAGGTTACAAGTAGACTGAAGTACTGGGAAAACTTACTTGAAACAAGCATTGGGATTCAATTGTCCATCAACGAAGAAGTAAAGCTTACAATGCCATAAATCGAGAAGACAGCCAATTATACTACCCTTTTTGAAAGCGCAAGATCCCAAGGGATATGTTTGGCCATCATGCATAAGTGCACCACGATAACTTAATCCCCATGAATCACAATCAATACCAAGTACAGAACGGAATTCACGTGAATAATGATCTAATTTTGCACATGTTCGACCGATTCCAACCATCTAGTAAGTATAAAATGCAAAATAACACTTATTTCGAAGGACGCTTGCAAGATGATCAACACGTTATCAAACATTTTAATTGGTGAGCAATATAAAAGCACCATTTTAACAAGCAAATTAGAACACTACTCACATTTAATATCGTGCAAGATACAAATAAATATTTCTTGACTTTTCGACTTAAAACTCGACATCGCTTGATCTTTTAACACACTGAACCGGGTAGCAATGATATTAACTTCGGGTAGCTACCTAGGCTACACTTATTATGTTGTCAAGCTTTGTGACCACAAAACCCGATTAGGTCGTGCCACGTTTCACGGCAACTGCTCCAGATAAGCAGCTGAATATATATATATATATATATATATATAAACCCTTGATAAATTTGCGGTCAAAACCAGTCCAGTCCTTCAGTCAATGAAGACTATGATGTCACAGTTTTAGTGTTAGAACAAAATAATCTAACAATCGATAAATCGTCCGTGACGACCAAGGTACAATACACTGATGTTTACCAAACGTACTAATGGAAAAGTGATCAAACATAAAATTTAACTGATTTCTAAGTTTGCGAACGAGATTTTGTTGTTCATATTGGAAATTTAGTTACACTGCTGATTACGAGTTGAACTGCATTTGCGCAATGGATTTGAGAAAAGCAACAAGGTTCATAGTCAAGTAGTGGTTAAAGCTGAAAAAGTCCATATTTATATACCGTTGTGGAAAACTGCTTATAACCATCACGGAACACAAAAAATGCGCAGAACAAATTTGACCATTATTTATAGGAGTGACTAAATACATATACAGAGAGGCTAAGTAATTTAACACAGGTCGGATAGAACTTTTAATCAATTCAAGGAAAACCCCTGTACGATTTGAAAATCAGTAAGAGAAAAGCCCTCAAGCTGAAAATAAACACCAGGAAACTTTGGAGAACCCTTACACTACCAACTGGTGGCCACAAACAGATTTCATATTTTTAAAAACTTACCACATCTGTCCCATAAAGCGGGGATACAGCTTTAAGTTCCCAATAGTGAAGGCCATTCGTTAAAAGGGCGGTCCCACGTGCAACAGCCGTACCCCAACTAATAGTGGGATGAAATGTAACAGTCTTGTCATTTTCAGATAGCTGGAAGGACTGCAGTGGAGACTCGGGTTTACACCAACGCCATTCCAATGCTTAAAAATTTAAATATGATGTAACCAAGGCTCACGTTCATCAACACTTTCATTGCAACGACAGAGTAATATCCAACTCAGATCCTGAAACTTTGGGGAATCAGGATCACAGTAAGCACATTTCTGAACAGTTAACATCAATAGTTCAACACTAGACAGCCTTGTACATCTGAGCGCCCTTTCCAAAATTCCCAACAATCATCTTTGATTCACCTAAACAAAAACACATGTTGGAGCACTTTGCTTTAATGGGTAGTCCTTCAGAATATGGGATCTTGCTTGGCTATTTCGTTGAAAAAAACTTTAAAAGTTCATATATGTAGTACCTACATTTTTCCTTTATGTTGCGCTCCAAGGTTACATTTATCCGAGTATCTTTCTTGCTCCCGAACCAGTGACCTATCTTACATTAATATATTGACCTGTAGAGCAGTATACATCGACAGATGTACAACAAGACTAAATCTTGCTTCATTTCATACTCTATTTTTCGCCACAAATTAACCCTACAACTCTTTTTTACCTGGTCACAATCAGCCTAATTCCAAATATACATTGGTCAGATAGGAACGTCCTACGTTTATGAAGAAGTTGGACCCTGAATTTCCTGAAATCTTAGATTTCATTTAGATTATTCGTTAAAGTTCTGCTACGAATTTGGATTGAATTGTGTTTCGGACGCATACTAAGTCGGTTTATAACGCCATAACAGTCTAAGAATTTATGCAACAATGGCTCGTATCCGGTAAACATCCCCTCGGATTTATATCACATAGAATTAGTATCTACCTTAAGTCTCCATCACATGGAGAATTTCATAAACTGTCTCAATCTGTCTCAAATAGATACTTCGTCGTATTATTATACGCAATATGTTACTTAACTCCATGTTCTGTACTTTGTGCACCAGTCCTTTACATGCTGGCCATGTTATGTGATTGTTCTATACACAGTGATGGTTGCCGTTTTCACTAACGTTTGCTATACGTTTCACATTTACTATTATCATATACGTTAACACATGACTCAATTTTCTTATTGCAAATATGTCATGCTCATTTCACTTTCAAACAGTTGACATATGAAGCGTCTTTGAACATCAACTCTTAGCTTGTCTATGGTATTCATAATAGAGAAGATAAAAAAGCAGTATTCAAGGGAAGGTCGTACACATAATTTGCAAAGGGTAAGCTTAGCCTCTGTTGTGGAGAAATTTTTCGTTATGAAACCAATTAGCCGTCTAGCTTTAGAAATAATAGAGGAGACATGTTCTTCGAAGTTTATGCTTTCTGTGTAATTTATTCCTAGATCGTGTACTGATTAAAGTACCTAGACTTTACTTTTATTTAAGTGAAGTTGTAGTTCATAGGGATGCTTTTCAGAATGTATGATCCCACATTTGTTGACGCTAAATGGTAATTGCCACTTTTCGCTCCAGATAGTAGGGTTATTGAGATTATCTTGAATCAGGGATACACTTCCACTTGGAGCCTCAGGCTTATAGCTGTATATTATTTTGAGATCGTGAACATATATTAGGACTAAAGGATAACGAAATATGATCCGTACAATCGGTGTAGCTGCTAAAACTAACTCTGTCGGTCAACTGTTCACAGTGTGGAGCATTGTTTTCTCGCGGCCGTTATCTAACATATATCGGCTGGTGAAATACGCAACGATTCACACGCTGTCCAATTCAATTGGTAGCCTAACGATAAAATCATTCTCGCAAATCATCACTTTACTCAGCTGAGAGAATATATCACAAACTAAAACCTCAGACTACTAAAGGATCAATAACTTAGTATAAAGAAATCATGATTTCTTTCACAGTTATACTTCCGTACTTTCAGTTATTTCAATAAATATAGATGTGACCAGGATTCGACCAATAAGAACAGAGATCTGTCGACAACTCTGGCCGACTCTACTTTTCGCCAATGACCAAAAGAATATCAACACCGATTGATAATGCACTTATCGTACCACCATTGTGATGCCGTTACTCTAACCTCAAACCTAGTGAAGCATACCTAAGGAACTCGGTCGCTTTTTGACTCTGCCCATTTCAACACATTGCTTTTTATTAGTGTCACTGTTAGTTGTTTTACATTCAACCGACCTAGAAGTTACTTAATAGTTTTTTTTCTATTTGCCGACCAGCTGCAGTCGCCTCATTTCCATTTGTCTTACAACTTGGGAGTACTAGGAGGGTTCATATGGATAATTTGGAAACCTCTGGAGCGTTCATACTTATGCAGTGAACCCTCTAGTGTTTTTATTCATGCAGAATCGACCAAATCGATTTCCTTTAATGTAGTGCGATGAAACCCATGTAGATTTGTAGGGCAATCTACTGACGTCTACAATCATGTGTAAATCACAGATACTACAGCCCATGGCCTTTCTAGTTTCTTCCTTCCATTCCGTGTCTCCTAATGATCCATTTATTCCCATTATCGTTCATCTTAACCCCGACGTTTAAGTTTCCATAAGCAGGACCAATTCATTTACTGAACATTTCTTGTGAATTGACTACAGCTTCTTATAAAACTGCCCATTATTATTCTGGCTGCCATCACTGATGGATGGTAATATCTGTAGACTCTCGTCGTAATCCTTTTCCTTTTAGCCTTGAAAGAAGCTTTAACGGTCATAGAATCGTGTCTCTCATCCTATCAAAGCTTTTCATGCTTCGTTAGAGGATATATATTTCTGCAATGGCAGGTACAAACCATTTTTACAGGCACGATCTACAAGTTACAACATATACTGGTTCACAGTATGCATCCCAAGCAGGGTTGTTTAGCAAATATAATCTATGAAAGTTTATAGCAGTCCATTCGATCAGATATTATGTGTTTTCATCAGAATATTTTCCAAAAGGGCATCGCGTCCACGTTACATACCAGAACCAATCTCGACAAAAATTGTATTAGGTTTTTGGTCGTGCTAAGTATTTATGTAATGCAGCTTTTTCAGTTAATAGTTGTGATAGAGTAGACTTGTGGAGCGCCTGGTTCAAACTATGACCTTGGAGAAGCGCGTTCGTTGAGCTCGTTCCAGATGTCAGAAGTTACATAGCTTCACCCTCAGAGCAGGTTTCTGAAGATTGAAAAAAAGAAAAAAACCGAGGAGCAGCAAGGCATTCGGATATGAACGATGACCAATGCTTAACAATTAGTAGTGTTAAGTAAAATAACAACCATATCCTTTACAGTCTGTTTTTTTCATCATCCGATGCCTGCCACACAGTTTTCATGTAAAAGTCTGAGTTAGCATGTTATAGACTGTCTTAGTAGGATAGTTAATCCAGCATAAAAACTAGAAACATGAGTCCGAATGGTGAGTGTAGGAGAACAACCTCAATATCACAGATTGATTAACTTGTTCTCATCCACAAAGAGCCTGACAAAAACAAAATGTTCTGCCCCACAAACACGGGTGGACTGAATTCATCGACCTCATCATCAATGCTTGCTGGTCAGTAACTCCACCCTCCCTTCTTTTGTGATCTTATGCTCATTTAAGCTTATTTTTTGGATATATATCATACCTCATACAATGCTCTGTGTTTCACATTCTGTTGGAAAACACTATTTCCATAAGTACCATTTTACAAGCTTATCAGACAGTTACAAATTATGGACTGTGTGTAAGGCTTCGATGCAATGCTTTAATTGACTATAGTGTGAAGTATAGGTTGCCAATGAGAGTACAGGCATTAAGAAGGGTATAACGCAAAATAGTTGCTTACCAAAGTAGGCGGAAAAGTGTATATATATTTTAGTTACAGACAAGGTAAGATAACGAGTGGTGAAATAATATTATTGGTTAGGTAATATAATATACAGAAGAGTAAAAAGCTGATAAAGAATAGACAAGAAGGAAATCACACTAAATTCGTACTGATGTTCTTTTGTCCTATCCTAATCTGTTTATGGGTAACAGGTTCTATAGATGTACGACCACTGGTAGTAGGCAGTCGATTGTGCATTTCTTTTGACTTTTTAAAGCAGTTGTAAGCGTCGTTTAGCGACCGAGTATTAATAGGTCCTGTGAGTTGCCGTCTACTTCAATTTTAAAAAAATTAGGGGGGGGGGCAAGTATCTAATACAACTACAAAGGAGGGAAATAAGGCAATTAAGTCTATATATGTAGAGAGCCTATGATGTCTGTGTGGGAAGCGGATGTGTTCGTCTGCGCTAGGTCTGTGCAAGTGAGGGCTTGATCGATAAGTTTTACAAACGTATGTAATTTATCTGCCATGCATATTTCAGAAGGAAGACTGTTCCATATTAATACGTACTTGCTAAGAAAGAAGTTTTCCCGAGTTTTTGACTGTATTTTTCAATCTTGGCTGTGGATACTTTGTCTTGAAGGTTGTACTCATGTAAGTCTTGGTAGAAAAATATACTACACGTGGAATAAGTAAGGTTTTTAACGAGTTTGAAATAGAGAATCCGGGGTACTATTTTTCTTCACAATTAGAATGCAGCAGCATCTCGGAGATCAGTATTTTCAATCAAGATTGTTATAAACGTGTTTCACTTACAACATGCACAGCCACTTTGTTTTTTATTTATGCTCACATTCCAATTTTTCGAATCGTTTGAAAATTCCATGCACCTAAATTACTCGTCGCCTTGATTGCCAGTAGATCCATCGGGTGTATGGATTCTGGGGAATCCTGACTTTTACCACAAGACTCACTCCTCTATATGAAGATTCTTCTACACTTACGTAAAGTGTGATATCTTCGTGATGATTAGAAGTATGTGAATCGATATGTTAACTAGGAATTCCCAAAATAGTGCAATTAACAGCAAACAGAACCATGTGAGCGTGAATGAAAGTATTGTATTTTGAATTCAAAATCGGGGAAACTTCCTATTTCCTCTGATTCATCATACCACTTAACAGGGATTCCACTCGAAGCACATTGGTTGTGAGAATATGCAACATCCGGTTCAATAACATCACAAATGTGACTAGAATTCGACTCAATTGGAGAATACTTGTCACATACATTAGGAATATCACTAGTGATAAATCCATTGTGAGAACAAATAACATGTGATGCGACACCATAAAGACTGTAGTCAGATTTTAACTCATTTAGAACTTGTTCCTCACAT